GTTTCTCTGTCTGTTTTAGCAGAGTGGTGGAGGCTAGCTAACTACCTGCTAAGCCAACCAGAGTAAACAGACTTAACGACGACTTCAAACTAGTTAACCAGAAACATTAAACGGTGTGCTAGCTAGCTAGCTAATGCCGATAGTCAGGTGTTTATTAAATAAAACTTTAGGTGATTTTAAACGAGTGAAAAATAAACAGCAGCCTCAGCAGGTAGTGGCTAACTCAGCAGCTAACTAGTCCGTGTCTGTTAATGGGCTCTTGCCTGGCTGCTAACGCTAACACACTGCCATGATCAAGGTGCAGTGTGAAGGTGTGTTAGTGAGCGACGGCTGGTGACGTGGACTTTTAGCCCGGCGGAGTTTGTGGTTTAAAACACTCACACACACGGCTATTCCTCTGCAGAGAACACACACTCCTCTGTGCTCACCCCCACTGTGCTCACCCCCTCCTTCTTAGTGAGTGTGTGTGTGTGTGTGTGTGTGTGCATGGGCTCGCAGGCCGGGCCAGCCACGGAGACCTCAGAGCCAGGTGCACTCAGGTAGAAACTTCCGGACACACCCTGGGAGTAGCAGAGAACCCGTTCGAGCTGATAAACGGCTCCGAATTGTTTAGAAATGTTGACAAACGCCACACCTTTGGCACACCTGAGTGGCTTCACACACCTTAGGACCAGAAATAGACACAGCATGCAAACAGCCACCAGAAGAAGTTCCAAGGAGGAAAAACTGGTCTACTGTTCCATACTTCCACAACAGACTTATGTTCCCACTGGGCCTCTGTGGTTTTACTGGTCTGCATGAAGCTGACATATTCATTACTGCATACACAGAAAGGCAAACAGCTGTGTGACGCTCTTGTTGAGTCTGTGCCATGAAGAATTAAGTCAGATATGAATGTAAACAGGGGTATTAGCAACATGTGCTTAATAAAAAACCTGTGCTCTTGGTAACGAAGCCTGCTTGGCGTGCAGACATGAGTGAAACCTGCACCACCAACACCACCACTTTCCTTCAGTGTCTCTCAACAAGGTGAAGGTGATGCTGCCTTCCTCCTCGGCTGTTTCCCATGGCCATCTAACAGACCGCATTGGACCCTTTGACGGGCCGGTTTTGGCCCCCATGCTGCATGTTTGACACCCCTACAGTACAGTGTTAAAGTTGCTTTCAGATGGAAGTAAAAGATAAGAAAGCTGCTCCTGAGAATCAAGTGAGTGTTTTACTGAAGGATTAAAAACTTTGCACTGAGGTTTAATTTTCCATCAATGGTAAGCCAATCAGTCAGCCGCATCGTGGCCTGTGGATGCTAAACATGCATCGTGTTAGGCCTGCAGCATATGTTGCCATGGTGATATACCACGCTTATTTTTTTAAAATGGTTTATTAGTTCATTTTATTTGTTCGGTCCACTCAAGTTCTGTTTGGTTTCTTTGTGGCCCACAAAATACCCCTGAAGCAGTCACATGATCCTAAAGCGCAGCACCTAAACTTTGCTGCTCTTTTGTAAAATCTCTTCCTCGTGTGAAAACTGTGGTGAACCTTATGGTGAGCTCTCGTCCTGTAGTTAACAGACGGTTGAAGTACATCAGCCTGGCTGTGCTCGTGGTCCAGAATGCATCGCTCATCCTCAGCATCCGGTACGTCCGCACGTTGCCAGGCGACCGCTTCTTCACCACGTCGGCCGTGGTGATGGCGGAGGTCCTGAAGGTCCTGACGTGTCTGGTCATCATCCTACTGCAGAAGAGACGTGAGTAAATCCTACTGAGCTGCTTTCTTGGCTGTGGAGTTCGAAGAGTTAGTTGTAGCCTCGCAGGCTTTTGTAGCTGTATGAAAAAACTGCATTAATTGATTAACTGATCAAAAATACTTAAAAAGATACAATTGATTAATCATCTTAAGGAACTTAACAGACATGCCGAGCTTCTCTTTGCAGTGTGTGATAGACAAAATAATTAATTTATTTTAGGAGATGATATGAAAATGAGTTACTTGGTTAATTACAGGAATATTCTTTGCTTGCAGTGAGGGACGGCTTTAAATTCAAATAGTGATTTGATTTGGGTGGAGTTAAAACAGCCCTGACCAACAAAGCAGCAGCTTCCTCTTGTTATAATTATTCATACTAAATAAATACTTCAAAAAAACTAGTATTTCTATTTAAAACTAACAAGGGAAATTATTTACATTTCATTATGTTTAACCCCAGTTTGGGTATAAGATGCAAAGCAGCCTCCTAACACTAGGGGGCAGCACCCCATCCCTCAATTTTGGGCCACTTACTCGAGCATGGTTTACTTTTTATTGCTGTTATCATAGACCTGAGCTGCTTTGGAGGCTACGATCAAAGATCAGCAGGTACAAAACCAGCCTTTAGCTCCGCCCCTTTCTCTCTGCAGTAAACGTGAAGGAGACGGTGTACTTCCTGATCGACGTCATCGTGGTTCAGTACAAAGACACTCTGAAGCTCGCCGTTCCTTCTCTCATCTACACTCTGCAGAACAACCTGCAGTACGTGGCCATCTCCAACCTGCCGGCCGCCACCTTCC